GAATTAGATCAGCCATTGACTGACCTGTTCACCATTAAGAATCTATTTTATTATTTCTAAACCACCCCCACAGACTTCATATTTTGTAAGACTTTATCCCCTAAGCTATATTTACATAATATACTTAATAATTACTAAGTAATTATTGTTACCATTATAAAGGATATTTTTAGTTATGAGTGACAAGTTTATGGGCTTATATAGGCAAAAAGTCTAGAACTAGGAATAGCTTCAGGCAAGGCTTGATCCAGCAGCTGTTACCAAGGACAAATATTCTTTCAGTCTCTTGGCTCTGCCTTCTCTGATGTGTCACAGGGTGGCTTCCAGGAGCTCTTGGGACTACTCGCTTTTTTCATTTCTGACTGGCAAGAAACAGAGAGCTTGCTGCCCAGTAAGCACAAAGACACAGAATTGAGACTTATTAACCTGGTTGGCTTGATGGGGATCATGTGCCTTTTCCTGACCAATTACCATAGCCTGCAGGATGAGATACATTGATTTGCTTAAGCCAGTTAGGCCCCACTGCTAGAACGGGGTCATTTCTGACCAGGTCACATGAGTGGGAAATTCCCAGTGCTATTAGGAAGAGGGAATCGGACGAAGAATGCCAGAGAGACACCAGCAAGTTTCCTGTGCCATGTTTATCAGCCAGAGATATCTCAAACAGCCCATCAGAACCTCTGACACGTATGTGAGTTGCACAGTAGTGACCTCCAGAATCCTGTGAGCTGATCCCGATGACAACCCCAGCCGTGGGCGGCCACATGGATCATGTGAGCTGACATCAGCCCAGGTGCAGTCAGACGTGGCCAAGGTGCAAGTCCATCCATACTAGTTCTCCACTCCCATCCAGCCCTCCAGAGATGGCTCTGCTGGAGACCCAGGTGAACCTGGAACTCCCCAGCTCCCAGGCCTATGCCTGCCCTTTTCAGATCCATGAGCTGAACAAGGCAAAGAGGAAGCAACAGAGCTGTCTGCAGCAAAACATACCCCGTTCACTGACTCACCACAGATTTACCCACATTAGTGCCAGGTTCTGTCCCGGGAACCCATCTTCAAAGAGCCACAGTGAGGTGCGGAGGCAGTGGGCCCCAGTTCAGTGTGGAAACACAGAAAGCTGGGCAGCAGTGGGCCAGAAGCAGGCCTCTCCCCATCCCAGGCCAGAGGGCATGAATGTCCAGCCCAGCATGCTCAGCAGCGGGGCCACTTCATCCTAGCCGGTACTCTCCTGGCCCTAGGGAAGGCCAGGGGCCTCTCTGGTAGCTTCAAGGATATCATCAAAGTTGTGCCCCCCAGTACAAACTGGGGAGTGTCCCAAGCCTCTGCATAGCATCAGGGCCATGCAGAATTCTCTCTGGCCCATTCACTATAGTGGCTTTGGGGCAGCAGAGGAACTGGGGGTGAGAGGCAATCCAACTCACATTTTTGCCTGCCTTCAGACTCCACTTCTTCCTGAATCTTCAAAGCCAGGTGGGATTCCACTGGTTAAGCAAGCATACAGTGAAGCCAAGGGTAAAATTCCATGGCAACCACTCTGAGATTCTACCACTTCTTTGAATAAGGCATTGCCTTTCTCAGGTCCTCAAGTAGTAAGTCACCAGTACCTCTGAGCACCTGTGTGGGTCTGATTCCCATGTCTCCAGCAACTGGGGCCAGGGATGCCTGGGATGGAAAAAGCCTCGCTAGTCCCATTCTCCGCTTTGCCTAAATTAACTTGTCTTGTGGCCAGAGGCAAGTCCCTTTCCTGATTTCTGTCTCCCCATCTACAAAACAAAGATTCTGGGCTAATCAGTCTCTGTGGGGCTTTCCAGCTCTAACAGACGAGAAAGTGAGCATTCAAGGTTCAGAAAAGAGGGAGCAGGGGTGGCTGAACTGGGGGGAGAGGGGAGGCAGCAGGACCGTCTGGCCAGAGCCTCATAGACCCAAAGGCCCTAAGTTTAGACTTCGGACACTCTCTCCAAATAGTTAACCGCAGTCACCAGAGATATATATATATACCAATAGACATGCACAAAGACATTGGGCCTTCTTACCAAAACATACCACCTACAAGGCCCATGAAATTATATATATTTAAATAAACTTATAAATCTTGGAACTGATTTTCAATTTACAAAAGAGTTGCAAAGATAGTACAGAGAGTTTCCACATACTCCTCACCCAGCTTCAGTTTCCCCTAATGTTATCATCTCACACCATTTGTCAAAACTAAAAACAAACAAAAAACCCCACCAAAAAAATAGAAAGCAACGTTGGTACATCTCTGTTAAAGTCCAGACCCTACTTAGATTTCACCAGTTTTTCAATTAATGCTCTCGCTGTTCCAGGATCCAGCCAGGAACCATACTGCATCCACTGGGTATGTCTCCTAGTGTCCTCTGGTCTGTGTCTGTTTCTGTCTTTCTATGCCTTTCATGACCCTTTTCAGTTTTGAGCAGTCCTGCTCAAGTATTTTGTAGAATGTCCTTCAACTGGGGTTTGCCCAGAGTTTTCCTTCCAGGCTCATGGGTTTGGAGAAGAATGCCACAGAAGTGAGATGCCTTCCTTACCCCCTACTACTGGGCAGCACACAATATCCACCTGACTTACCACAGGAGGTGTTGACCTTGACCACTTTGGTCAGGGTGGTGTCTGCCACGTTTCTCCACTGTCAAGTTACTACTGTTCCCTTTCCCTACTCTACCATTTAGAAGCCAGTCTCTAAGTCTCGTGCACAAAGGAAAAGGAGGGGATAATTAACATGGAGGAGGGAGAACCTACATACGTTGTTTGGAAGATTTGTCTCTTCTTTCCCAGCTAGTAAGTCAATCATTTATGTCTACCAGTACGGACTCAGGGAGATGGATTTTATACTTTGGGTTATAATCTAATAGTACATTATTTATTTTATTTTTCTAATTGTTGCAGCTTTGGCCATTGGGAGCTTTTTGCTCCTGAGTCCCTTTGAAACCCCCCCATCCTTTTCAGTTTGAGGCATTTCCCAACTCTGGAATCATAAGGTGCTCTAGGCTCACCTTTCTGTGCCTCAGCCCTAGAATCATCTATTTCGCCAAGGAAATAATACATTTTTTAAACCCAGTCCTCCAATTATCTTCTCAATAGTCCAGATATTTTGCACTGCATTTGAATACATGATGAAAAGAGTTAATTTGTTCAATACTTCAATTTTTGTAGCTCTATTGTGACAAGGCTTTCTAAAATATACCAGAAACCTCAAGACATGGAAGGGACCTGGCCCTTTCTCCATTTCCAGGACATCTCGTGGAATTGAACCTCTGCAGGCACTCTGCTAAGGCTTGGGGGGCAGCCTGCTCACCCTTTCTACAGAGGTGACCTAGGTCTTGTGTCCTCTCCAGTCTGAGCTGCCTGGTGGAGCTACCAGAGGCCAAGGTAATTCCTAGGACCATTCCCTCTTCAGCCTCTCCTGCACCCTCCACCCTGCCACCCAGGTGGTGACCAGTCCTGGAACTGTGCAGACCCCACCCAGCCTGGCCAGGTGCAGGCAGGTGACAGGAGAGCAGGAAGGCTCCAGCAAGGAAGTTGGCAAGCCCAGCGACTAAGACAGTCGTGCAAGAAGGGGTGGAGGCTAGGGGGCGGGGGGGGGCGGGGGCTGGGCATATTAGATCCAGAGGGCTCTTGGGGACTGGGGACAAGGTTTGCAAAATCCAGCTATATGTGGAGCAGGGTTTCCCCATAGCAGCCCTGGCGTCTGCAGAAGAGAGAGAGTCAGCTTCTCGGGAAAGAGCCGCCTTCAAGAGCCGGAAGAGAGAGAGACTGCGGCTCACTCTGGGAGGACACAGAGCTGCGTGACTCATCGCCCAGTTCTGCCGGCTCCCGCTGCAACAGTGCTGGGCAGCACCGGGTCTGGGAGTACGGGTGGAGTCTCAACCCCATCCTGGCCCCGGAGGAGGTCCCAAGCAGGCAATCACAATCCAGCACGTAGGGACCCGGGCAGGATGCTGTGGGAGCATTGAGAAGGAAGCAACTCAGCATCGAGGGAGTCTGGGCAGGCCTCACAGAGGAGGTGACATCATCAAAAAGAGGAATGGAATTGGCCATGCAGCAGTAGGGAGGGAAGAAGGGGAGGGCACTCCCTGAGCAGAGGAAGGAGATGCAAAGGCACATAAGTGTCTGCAAGAAGCTGGCACAGTGCCTGCCGCCCAGTGAGTACTCCATCGATGTGAGGCATTACCGCTGTGATTGGCTTATCATCATGGTTATTAGCCCGGACACATTACTTAATATGTTTACTACCTTAAAGGTAGTTACTACAATGAATAAATGCCTAAATAGATCACACTTTTCACTGAACTATTCACAACTCTGGAAAGAGCTGTTGTGAAGATTAGGGCTACAGCACACACAGCGCTGGGCAGCGTGTGGTGAGCACGGGAGGAGCATAGCATTGGGTGTGAGCTGACACACCGGAGTGGGGCTCATTTTCTCTCTCTCCTGGAGGCCAGTCCCTGGGGTTGCTGTGCCCAGGGCGCACAGATGAAGAGATACTTTAGTGTCCTCAAAGATGACCAGGCAATAAAGCAGGGACTTGGCTAGGTGGGGGTCACTGGTGGTTTCAAAACTGACAAAGGTGGCACCTCGTGCCCTGGAATGGGACCTCCTGGTCCTGGTCGCAAGTCTTTCCAGCTGGGACAAGGCAAGATGTACCTGCCTTTCTATCCTGGCAATGTCCTATTTCAGGGAAAAAAAAAAGTTCCTGGCCCTGGGTGGGGCCCCACTTCTGTGTACCTACTGCAGTCATGATGTACCTGTTGAGTGTTCCTGCCTCAATCCGAAAAGTGCCTGCCTGGGTGTACCTAGCTTTATAACTATGGCTCTGCCTCCAATGGTGTGTGGACCAGCCCTCGTGTGCCCGATTCCCGTGATGCGTCCCGGACCGTACCTTCAGCATTCTTAGTTCTGAACGTACGTGGCTATACCTGTGCTTGTATCTCCATACGCTGCCTGACTAGGTGCGCGTACCTGGTTCAGCCTGGGCTTACCTGACGCCTGCGGACCGTGCACTCCTGCCCTGCGGAACTCCTCGCCGCTGAGCCTCCAGGCTCACGGAAGGGGCTGCGACCCCGTATCCCCCCCATTCTGGGCCCGGCCCGGCGCG